CTCAAGAAGGCGCACTGCGGCTACATCTCCGAACCCACACTGGAGAAAAGCCCTTCAAGTGCACTTTGTGCCACAAACAATTTTCTCAAGAAGGCTCACTGCGGATACATTTTCAAACCCACACTGGAGAAAAGCCCTTCGAGTGCACTTTGTGCCACAAACAATATTCTCACGAAAACTCACTGCGGCTACATCTCCGAACCCACACTGGAGAGAAGCCCTTCCAGTGCACTTTATGCCCCAAGAAATTGTCGGCAGGTTATGCACTTCGGGCACATCTTCTAACCCATACTGGAGAGAAGCCCTTCGAGTGCACTTTATGCCAGAAGAAATTTTCAAGATCTGACCATCTCCGGGCACACCTCCGAACCCACACTGGATAAAAGCCCTTCAAGTGCATTTTATGTCAGAAGAAATTTTCAACAAATTAGGAACATCTCTAAATTCCTCTGGAAAGAAGCCTTTCGAGTGATCTTTATGTCACAAACAATTTTCTAGAGCTGGCACACTGCGGGGTTATTTTCGAACTCAAAAACTGGTGAGGAGACCTTCGTGTGCACTCTATGCCATAACTTTTTTTTTGCTTCGGGCACATCTATAGACCCGCTGGAGAGGAAGCCATTCGAGTGCATTTTAAGCTAGAATAAATATTAGTTTAGTTGCTGCAAATTGCTGTTTTTGATGATCAGGAGGTGTTGTATACGAAAAAGGGCAAAGCAAGACTGTTCATTCTTCTGAAAACCAATAAATGAATCTATTAAATAAAATGGCGTATTTTATGCTAATCTCTTGTTCACTTTGAGCTCGATATTTTTGGGCAGCCCCGAGGAGAGTAATCGTGCCGAATGAGACGAGCCTCTGGCGGGGTCGCCTTCTGGTCCGGCCGCGCTGCCGACTGCCTGCGGCTCTCCGCACAATCAGAGTGACAAACCCCGCAGTAAAAACATCCCCGAGAGTCATACGGGGCGCGACACTAAAATAAATGGAATAACGAATGAACGGTGCAATACAATCGAGGGGGCAATAACTCCGGGAATCATGTGTACACCTGTCTGGGAATCATCAGGATAAAAATTGATCAAAATCAATAGAAATCGCTTAGAATAAGCGGGAAACTAGAGAAATAAGTACAAATCATTCGAAATAAGCGTTTTATACCACTAAAAACACCCGAAAAACCTAAGGAATAATTCTAAGCGGACGGGAATCACCGGGAATCAAGAATTTCGGGAATCATGTGTACACTTCAAAAGGGAGTTATTGCCCCCTCGAATACAATAAAACTCGCGGGAGCGCGCGCGGGGGGCCCGCGGTGGCGCGGCGGCACGGCCCGCTCAAGATGGCCGCGCGCGCGGAATATTGGCTGTTTTGTATGCAGGAGAGGCGGGAGCCAACCAAAAGTTCTCCTCTGTCGATGTCTTTTTATTCTCCGCGCCGCTTCTTCCTCCTTCCCCTCCACTTGCGCCGTGTCCACATCTACGACGTTCTCTCGCGCCGCTGCGCCATCCCTCTTTGCTTCCCTCCTCTTCCTTTTTTTTCCCATTTTTTTTATCATTTTACTGGGGCACGGGGCATCCATCTATCCAACTCTTCCCGCTGCTTACTCGTGACCCCGTCTTGCGCCGCAGCCGTACCGTGTGCATGTACACTCGAGTTTCCGCCACGTTTTTGTTATTTTACTGTGTTGTACTGTAATTCTATGCATTTTACAGACGTTTACAGTGGTCCCACTCCTTTGTTTTCAATTTTTTCATCTCTGTATTTTCTAAACGCTAAAATGGTCCCCACTTGAAAATTGAACGCTATACGTATGTCTTGGAGGGTTCAAAAGGTGCGAAGTGCCCTTGAACGGAAAGGTTGACATGAGACTTTTATGTACGTGCACGTACCGTAGGGTGTAATTTTAGCAGGACAAAAAAAAAAAAAAAAAAAAAAAAATCCAAAAAGGAAACTAGCTGCTCGTACTATTATAACCGCATTAAAGGGCGCCCCTGCTTGCGCTAATTTTTCCGTCGCGATAAGAATCCGACGTGGTGTTAATGACGCCGTTGTGCCTCACACGAGACGAGGCGGCATTTCTCTCGAATTACGAGCCGAAAATAGCGCAGCTCTCGAGGTCGAGGTACGAATTGTTCACACCCACACCGCCATTATTATGCGTTGTTGTATGTGTCGCGTGTGATATAAGTTCCGTGAGACACAGAAGAGGCGCAATGCGTAATAAAGCAGATCCCCCTTTTAATCCAACTTCACTATAAAACGACATTATCGCGCGGATCCCTCCGTCCCTCCCGCGCGCCGATCGGATAAGCAAAGCATATGCGAGCCTTCCTCCCCTCTGGCCGCCCGGGCCGCTCGGGCCGCTCCCCCTTGTAATGAATGGAGCAGCCGGGAGTAAATCGGAAATAATGCGAATTAAAAGTTTCCTAAATCGATTTCGGCGCCCTCTCGACTTACTTTGGTGGTGGTGGTGGTGAGGAGCGCGGGGCGCCGTGTTCTTAACACCTTTTGAGTTTGAAGGAGCTAAAGGGAGGGGGAAGGATGTAGGGGGGATGTAGTGTTGTGATTGGAGTGAGAGGGAGAGAGGAGAACAACATGCTTCTTGTGTCCACACACACACACGCACACGTGCGCGCTCACGAACATCCTGTGCTTTACACTTAGCGGTGGCAAGTCTGTCCTACATCCGCACGTCTTCTCGGTGGTGGTGCGGCGCGCGGCTCGTGGGGAGAGTGCGAGGAGAGGGGGTGAGGGGTGGGAAGGGGTCGCTCTGCGGGGAGAGCCGAGGGGGGCTCATACATATTGCATGTCATCCTCGGGGACAATATATATCGCGGGGGCTGTATATCGAATAAAGTGGAGAGCGGGTCGCGCGCCACGCCCCAGATTCGCGCAAAAACGCATTAAAACGACCCGCGCTCGCGCTTTTGCTCAAATCCGCTCAAATCTCACCCTTGCGCGCGCACTCTTCTCTGCTCACTCTTTTCGGGAGAGGGGTTGGTCGCTTTGTGAGTCATTATCGTCACGTCGTCTCGCGTGTCACACCGGGTGACGTAGACGTCGTCGTCGTCACCCACTCGCGTGCCGAGCCTCTCCGACGAGGAGGAGGAGGAGACCCTCAACGTGATGGGCGCCGTCACCCTTGTGGTGGCGAAATTGTTGGATCCGTCCGCGCGGATTACGGTCGGTAGGTGATTTTGGCTGCTGCAGGGCGGGGCGGGGTGGGGTGGTGCGTGGTGGAGGGTGGCTGCATGGCCGTATCACCCAGCAGATTACCGGGCTTACGTCGGATTACCGCGTGTCGCGGTTGTTGGAGGGCC